CAGTTGGTTAGAGCTTGACAACTGTCTCTCTGTAGCTCAGTTGGTTAGAGCTCGACAACTGTCTCGCTGTAGCTCAGTTGGTTAGAGCTTGACAACTGTCTTTCTGTAGCTCAGTTGGTTAGAGCTTCACAACTGTCTCTTTGTAGTCCTATATAATACCATGTTTGTATTTCAATGTTTTTGTGTATATTTTGACATCTAGATTGCATCAAAGATGGGAGACATGCCTTCATCAAGCAGTCAAGGAGTGGATGCGTCTGTACTGGCTGACAAAATAAAAACCTTAGTATTACCGGTAAGAAACCATTGTTTCTATTGTAGTCTTGAAGTGTCTGTGTCAGTACAGACAGTGTGAATAATGACAACACTGTCATTGGTAGAGAAAACACGAAACATCTGTTACACGCGTAAAAACGCACAAGTTTGTACAGGATGTGTTCTGTTATCAAGTTGCTACAAGGTTGTTGGGCTCAACAGCAGGGTGCGATAATTCGCGTATATTACTGTCTGGTACTACTTTGTTTTCAGCCACGTACCACGTAGGTACGCGGAACTCTTGCTATCTGCGTACTTATTTTTTGCTGGTACCACATGACCTTTCCAAGGGCAAGGTATTCAATACCGTAATTTAGTTGCTATATCATGTGTCTGAGATGTCTTGGCATGAACATGATTGCACTGATGGCACTAAGAAACGTTGGAGTTGGTTGTTTGAAATAGCAAAACTCCATTTTTAAATAGCAAAAGTCCCTTTTTGAATGGCAAAACTCCCGTTTCAAATGGCAAAACACCCTTTTCAAATAGCAAACCTCCCTTCTCAAATAGCAAAACTCCCTTTTCAAATAGCAAAACTCTTCTTTTCAAATAGCAAAAATCCCTTTTCAAATAGCAAAACACCCTTTTCAAATAAACCTAAAGTAGTTAAGTTGTAAATTTTTTGTAAAAGTTGCGCAATTCAGTGTAAAACTGCAAGGTAACTTATTAAATAATCTATCTCTCTTTTCAAATAGCAAAACTCCCTTTTCAAATAGCAAAACTCCCTTTTCAAATAGCAAAACTCTCTTTTCAAATAGCAAAACTCCCTTTTCAAAAAGCAAAACACCCTTTTCAAATAGCAAAACTCCCTTATGAAATAGCAAAACTCCCTTTTCAAATAGCAAAACTCCCTTTTCAAATAGCAAAACTCTCTTCTCAAATAGCAGAACTTCCTTTTCAAATAGCAAACTCCCTTTTCAAATAGCAAAACTCCCTTTTCAAATAGCAAAACTCCCTTTTCAAATAGCAAAACTCCCTTTTCAAATAGCGAAACTCCCTTTTCAAATAGCAAAACTGTCTTCTCAAATAGCAGAACTCCCTTTTCAAATAGCAAAACTCCCTTTTCAAATAGCAAAACTCCCTTTTCAAATAGCAAAACTCCCTTTTCAAATAGCAAAACTCTCTTCTCAAATAGCAAAAGCAAAACTCCCTTTTCAAATAGCAAAACTCCCTTTTCAAATAGCAAAACTCCCTTTTCAAATAGCAAAACTCCCTTTTCAAATAGCAAAACACCCTTTTCAAATAGCAAAACTTTCTTTTCAAATAGCAAAACTCTCTTTTCAAAGAGCAAAACTCCGTTTTCAAACAGCAAAACTTCTTTTTCAAATAGCAAACCTTCTGTTCAAATAGCAAAACTCTCTTTTCAAAGAGCAAAACTCCGTTTTCAAACAGCAAAACTTCCTTTTCAAATAGCAAACCTTCTGTTCAAATAGCAAAACTCTCTTTTCAAATAGCAAAACTCTCTTTTCAAATAGCAAAACTCTCTTTTCAAATAGCAAAACTCTCTTTTCAAATAGCAAAACTCTCTTTTCAAAGAGCAAAACTCCGTTTTCAAACAGCAAAACTTCCTTTTCAAATAGCAAACCTTCTGTTCAAATAGCAAAACTCTCTTTTCAAATAGCAAAACTCCCTTTTCAAATAGCAAAACTCCCTTTTCAAATAGCAAAACTTTCTTTTCAAATAGCAAAACTCCCTTTTCAAAGAGCAAAACTCCCTTTTCAAATAGCAGACCTCCCTTCTCAAGTAGCAAAACTCCTTTTTCAAATAGCAAAACTCCCTTTTCAAATAGCAAAACTTTCTTTTCAAATAGCAAAACTTTCTTTTCAAAAAGCAAAACTCCCTTTTCAAATAGCAAAACTCTCTTTTCAAATAGCAAAACTCCCTTTTCAAATAGCAAAACTCCCTTTTCAAATAGCAAAACACCTTTTTCAAATAGCAAAACACCCTTTTCAAATAGCAAAACTCTCTTTTCAAATAGCAAAACTCCTTTTTCAAATAGCAAAACTCCCTTTTCAAATAGCAAAACTTTCTTTTCAAATAGCAAAACTTTCTTTTCAAATAGCAAAACTCCCTTTTCAAATAGCAAAACTCCCTTTTCAAATAGCAAAACTCCCTTTTCAAAGAGCATAACTCCATTTTCAAATAGCAAAAATTTCTTTTCAAATAGCAAAACTTCATTTTCAAATAGCAACACTCTCTTTTCAAATAGCAAAACTCCCTTTTCAAATAGCAAACCTCCCTTCTCAAATAGCCAAACTCCCTTTTCAAATAGCAAAACTCGTTTGCTATCTTGTAGTCAGAACATACTTTTCAGAAACCTGTACTTTATGAACTTTATTTTTAAAGACTAAGTACACATTGAGCATTGAGTACTGAGTTTGTTCTAGCGCAAGTACGCGGCAACAACCATTGGCGTACCAGTCAGGTACGACTAGAAATCTTGAATGATCGCACCTCTGCGGTACTGTGCCTGGGCTGAACATTAATGTTGAAATTGAATCAAAGATCATGCTCAATCTGATAGTTTCTAATTACATCGTCATTAGAAACCCCAACATAAAGTACTTGCACTGTTTGGTAACATAATGTTATTTCTTTTGCACAGAATTACTGTACGTGAAATATTAATTTAGTTAGTCAGATTAGGCGCATTTTATTATTAGTTAGTTACATTGTATAGTATTAGTTGCACGACCACATTGAGTATGCTGTGATATTATAATCATGTTTAAATATATGTTTTTATTATTATTATTACCTAATGTGTGGCATGTCACTCTTAAATTTCAGATCAAGGAACGTTTTTGTGCGGGCACTCTGAAACAAAGAGCAAGAACTGCAATGTCTTATGAATTGAAAAGAGATTTTCAGCAAGTGTTATCCTCGCAAATGGTACGGTATGTTCATTATTGTTGGAAGGGTCTTGTAGACAGAGATTATCGAGTGGAAATTTATTTACATTTGTTAGATCTAACCACAAACAGCTGTGAAAAATGCAACTATACAGGTCCCTGGCAGGAATCAAACCAAGCTCTAACCAACTGAGCTACAGAGAGACAGTTGTCGAGCTCTAACCAACTGAGCTACAGAGAGACAGTTGTCGAGCTCTAACCAACTGAGCTACAGAGAGACAGTTGTCGAGCTCTAACCAACTGAGCTACAGAGAGACAGTTGTCGAGCTTTAACCAACTGAGCTACAGAGAGACAGTTGTCGAGCTCTAACCAACTGAGCTACAGAGAGACAGTTGTCGAGCTCTAACCAACTGAGCTACAGAGGCCAGTTGTCGAGCTCTAACCAACTGAGCCACAGAGGCCAGTTGTCGAGCTCTAACCAACTGAGCTACAGAGAGACAGTTGTCGAGCTCTAACCAACTGAGCTACAGAGGTCAGTTGTCGAGCTCTAACCAACTGAGCTACAGAGAGACAGTTGTCGAGCTCTAACCAACTGAGCTACAGAGAGACAGTTGTCAAGCTCTAACCAACTGAGCTACAGAGAGACAGTTGTCGAGCTTTAACCAACTGAGCTACAGAGAGACAGTTGTCGAGCTCTAACCAACTGAGCTACAGAGAGACAGTTGTCGAGCTCTAACCAACTGAGCTACAGAGAGACAGTTGTCGAGCTCTAATCAACTGAGCTACAGAGAGACAGTTGTCGAGCTCTAATCAACTGAGCTACAGAGAGACATTTGTCGAGCTCTAGTCAACTGAGCTACAGAGAGACAGTTGTCGAGCTCTAACCAACTGAGCTACAGAGAGACAGTTGTCGAGCTCTAATCAACTGAGCTACAGAGAGACAGTTGTCGAGCTCTAACCAACTGAGTTACAGAGAGACAGTTGTCGAGCTCTAACCAACTGAGCTACAGAGAGACAGTTGTCGAGCTCTAACCAACTGAGCTATAGAGAGACAGTTGTCGAGCTCTAACCAACTGAGCTATAGAGAGACAGTTGTCGAGCTCTAACCAACTGAGCTATAGAGAGACAGTTGTCGAGCTCTAACCAACTGAGCTACAGAGAGACAGTTGTCGAGCTCTAACAAACTGAGCTATAGAGAGACAGTTGTCGAGCTCTAACCAACTGAGCTACAGAGAGACAGTTGTCGAGCTCTAACAAACTGAGCTATAGAGAGACAGTTGTCGAGCTCTAACCAACTGAGCTATAGAGAGACAGTTGTCGAGCTCTAACCAACTGAGCTATAGAGAGACAGTTGTCGAGCTCTAACCAACTGAGCTATAGAGAGACAGTTGTCGAGCTCTAACCAACTGAGCTACAGAGAGACAGTTGTCGAGCTCTAACCAACTGAGCTACAGAGAGACAGTTGTCGAGCTCTAACCAACTGAGCTACAGAGAGACAGCTGTCAAGCTCTAACCAACTGAGCTACAGAGAG